TATGGGAAGAGATGAAGGAGGAAAAACCATGATTAGAATATACTGTAGAAAAATATTATTTTCAATAAAAAACAAAAGCAAAACAGACACAGTACATTTTCTTTGGAAAGAAAAAAGAAACAAATAAAACCCCAAAACTGTCTAAATGGCAAAACTAACAGGAAACTAATGAAAATATATCAGTTCAACATACCAAACTTGCCACTGAGTGCCACATTTAGTAAAATATCAATTGCTTCTGGAGCTAAGCCATTTTTCCAAGCCACGTTTTCCACAGTTTTCAAGTGTTTTTCCAACGTTGTATTTTTATTGAGTGAAGTTTTCTTGGGACCTGGAAAAGAAACAATATTAAACAAGGAGACCTTGGACAATCTTTCAGTGCTCATCCTCAATAATTACAACCTAGGGACTCATTAAAGGAATAGATTTATGCAATAACTGTCTTCCTCTAAAAAAAAATAAAACAAGCAAATTAAAAACCTTGAGAGCCTATATATTACTCAGTGCTTAGCAACAATAGAATCTTCAGTGAAGAAACATCCCTCATGCCCTGACAGCTCAGTATATATTGAAATATACTATATCACAATGTATTATATACTATAGACAAAACATCTCTCCAGCATAGTGGCTGGAAGATACTGTGATCACCTCAGAATCTTTACAAAATACTAATACTTATCATGTACTCTTAAGACATCTGATTTTGTTGATATGGGATGTGTATATGTATACACACACAGACACACATTCAACTTTAATTAAAACCTCTTTCAATATTAGGACAATTCCAAAATTTTACTAGAAACCTTTATTTGTGTATATACACGAGCATGTGTGTACCTATGAGTGTGTGAGCCATGTGTAAGGCTGAGTGTGAAGGAGAATTTGATGCTAGGAATCTTCCTCTATCACTTGCCACCTTATTTTTTTTTTGGAGACAAGGATTCTCAGTGAACTTGGAACTCACCAATTCAGCTAGACTACCTGGCCAGTAAGCTACAGGGAGTCTCCTATATCTGCCACCCCAGTATTGGCATTACAATCACATAAACCATGCCAAGATTTTTACATACTTTGAACTCAGGTCCTTATACCTACAAAGCAAGCTCTTCCTCAACTGGACCATCTCCCAAGCCTACCTAGATGTCATTCAAAAGTCACAGTGCCAGGTTACATCCCATAGCAACAAAATCAGATGTCTAAGAATAAATGATAAGAATTAGTATGTTTTAAAGTTTCTGAAGTGATCACAGTGTCTGCTAACCACTATGCTAGGAAAATGTTTTGTTTTGTCTATAGTATATAAATGTTGTCATATAGTAAATTCTCGATAAGTGACTATTAGATAAAAATTTGAATAAACAAAAACATCTTTCCCTTTAAAAGCATTTAAGGCTGGACATGATGGTGTGCACCTTTAATCCCAGCAGTTAGGAGGAAGCGACAGGAGGACCTCTCTGAGTCTGAAACCAACCTGGGCTACAAAGCAATTTCCAGGACAGCCAGGGCTACACAGTGAAACCCTATCTCAAAAAAAAAAAAAACTTTAAAAAAGACAAAAATTATTTTTGGACAGGTTCCTACTCTTACCTGTCTTACTCCCCGTGTTGGGATTACAGATATGTCTGCCACTGCATCCAGCAATTAGGACCGAAATATTTTTAGAGAGAAATAGGAATTTCAGGGCTTGGGCTGGGGTTGTAGCTCAGATTCGAGAATGCTGGGTTCTACCACCAGCTCCACATAAACCAGGTATGGAAATGCACACCTGTAATCTCAGCAATCAAGTTAGAGGCCACCCTCTGCTGCATAGTGAGTTCAAGGCCAGCCTCAGATACATAGAGACTGGTCTCAATAAAAAAAAAAAGTAAATAAAATAAACTGCACTTTCATAAGGAAAATCATCTGCCTTTACCTTTCTGGAAGTATCCTACTGCTTTCTGCAGGTCATCTTCGTCTTGATCATCAGCATGTTTAGGATCTTCCACTGAACTGCTTTCTTTCAAGACACTCTTCGAGTTGCCTGATTTCTCTTTTACCTTCCAGGCTAAGAGACTGGTCTGAAAAGTATTACTACCTTGAGAAATTCTGTTTTGGAGCTCAGAGCTTCTGGTTTTCCTTTGAGTTGCCATCACTGTATATATGTTCTAAACAAAAATGAGTACCAAGTTACTATTACCCAGCCAGAGACAATGACCACATTTGTCTGCATTCCCATGTGCAACAGGTATTCAATGACAGGAGACAATTAACCCATAGGCTTTTTTAGAAAGTCCTTGACCTGAACAGCAATAGATTCATAACTTGCCAATGTAATATATATTAGCTAAACTCTTAAAAACATATAGGCATCCTCCTGAATATTAACCTTCATCAGGCGATGAAAGGAGACAGAGACAGAGACCCACATTGGAGCACCGGACAGAAATCTCAAGGTCCAAATCAGGAGCAGAAGGAGAGAGAGCACAAGCAAGGAACTCAGGACCACGAGGGGTGCACCCACACACTGAGACAATGGGGACGTTTAATCGGGAACTCACCAAGGCCAGCCGGCCTGGGTCTGAGAAAGCCTGGGTTAAAACCGGTCTCGCTGAACATAGCGGACAATGAGGACTACTGAAAACTCAAGAACAATGGCAATGGGTTTTGATCCTACTGCATGTATTGGCTTTGTGGGAGCCTAGGCAGTTTGGATGCTCACCTTATTAAACCTGGATGGAGGTGGGTGGTCCTTGGACTTCCCACAGGGCAGGGAACCCTGATTGCTCTTTGGGCTGATGAGGGAGGAGGACTTGATTGGGGGAGGAAGAGGGAAATGGGAGGCGGCAGTGGGGAAGAGACAGAAATCTTTAATAAATAAATAAAGAAAAAGAAAAAAGAAAAAGGCTATATTTTTAAGTACAAAACCATCCCATCTCATAATTGCAATATTTTCCTACTCCTATTTTATCTACCCCTCCTTGATTTTGCTTTCGATCTTGACACTGTCTTTTTTGTCAGTAGTATGTTAAAATTGCACAGTTAAAAAAGCTAACTAGGACTGGAGAGATGTCTCCGAGGTTAATAGAACTGACTGCTGTTCTGGAGGTCCTGAGTTCAATTCCCAGCAACCACATGGTGGCTCACAATCATCCGTAATGAGATCCGGTACCCAGAACACTATATTCATAATAAATAAATTTTAAAAAAAAAGCTAACTAATGCCCAGGGTAGCAATATTATCCATTTATTAATTCACACATTCAATAAATACTACGCATCATCATCTTTATGCCAAACACAGTCTAGTTAGTTACTCGGGCTGTAAAAATAAAACATCATGGTACCTGAATTCAGGAACCCTACACTGGGGGACAGGGGTTATAAACCAAGGACCCAGTAAGTAACACGTGCAGTGAAGTGACAGAAATGAGGTGGAGTAGGAATCTAATTTTGAGTAGGTGTCCAGAGAAAGCCTCTTGTGGTGGTTTGAATGAGAATGCCCCCCCCCCCCCCGGCCCATATATTTGAATACATGATCCCCAGTTGGTAGAACTATCTGGGAATGACTAGGAGGTGTGGCCTTGTTGGAGGAAGATGAGTCACTGAGGGTGGGCTTTGAGACTTCAAAACTCCACACCATTCCCACTTAGTTGTCTGCCTGGTGCCTGTGGATAAGATATAAGCTCTCAGCTACTGTTCCAGGACTGTGCCTGTCTGCCACAATGATTGCATGGGTTCTGCTACCCCGTGTAATAGTTAAGTCTCAAATTAAATGTTTTCTTTTATAAGTTGCCTTGCTCATGGTGTCTCTTCACTAAGAAAGAAGAAAAGTAATTAAGACAGCCCTCTTTCGTGACCCTTAAGGAAGATGAAATCTAAGTGCCAAGAAGGAGTGGGCCATTTGAAGGTGCAGGGGAAGAGTATTTGATGAGAAGAAAAATGGAAAACATCCAAGCAAGAAAGAAATTTGCATATTAATGAAAACGTGTCGACACCAGTGTGAACAGTTTGGATCAAAAGAGTTAAAGTGTAAAGTGAGAGTCAGAACTGTAACAGGGGAGATCATATTGGGTCTTATAGGCAAAGAGTAAGGACTCTGACTTTTCAGTATCAAACCACAGGAGAGAAAACGTAAGACCATTTTTCTTTTCTATAATGTAGAGACTAGAGTTCAGAAGTGTTGAGAAACCACTTACCAGGCTTTGCCAAAGAAAGCAGATGACTGGCCTGCAGTAGGTCTAAGTAGGGTAAAAAAAAGACTCACATGTCCTATGAGATACTCGGTGCAGGAGCATATATACCTGGGTAGATAAAACAAAGAATTAGACACAGATATGAGGGAAACCAAAAATAATAAGGAACCAAGACTGGCTTCTAAGTTTTTATCTTCAAGTAGGAAAATCTACGGGAACAGATGGAATGACATTCAGTCTCTTCCCCCTAGAACAGATGAGACCAGGGCAAGAGAACACATAAGACAGAAGGAGGGGAGGTCTGGTGACAAGAGCATCCTACTTAAGAAGGGTCAGGAAGCAGATTAGGACCCCCACTGGGCGAACTGCTCCAGCGCCACCGGGTGGTTCAACTCACGGCCCTCCCTCCCCACCCAACAGCGACACAGGCAAACAACTCCCCGACTAGGCCTATCCCTGAGACCACAGAGGAAAATCTGATGCCCGTTTCCCTTCTCAGAGTTAGTTTTACCCTCGCCGGTCGCGGTATTGCAGATCTCAGTGCCACCCTGGCCGGAGTCGCCCAGCACCTCACCTTAAGAACTTCGGCACTGGTCACCTCACCCTAAGAACTTAGGCACTGGTCCTCCAGCTCCCAAAAGCCGCCTCCGAGATTCAAAAGCGCCAGCCCCGCCCCGCGCATGCGCTTCGGGGGAGCCCGCAACGGCGGGGGAAGCGAGTTCAGCCGAAAACTAATTGGTTTGAGTGCAGCTCTGAGGCGGGAGGTGGCGCGCGCGCCAGCGGAGAAAGACGCGCCTCAATGACGCAGAGTGACTGGCCCCACCCACGGAGGCCTGGGGCGCGCCCCAGCCGGCAGTCGCTACTGGAAGTCAGTTGATTGACCCGTGGTGGTCTCCGAGTTCTGGGGTTTGCAGCGGTCATTGTGAGTGGAACAGTGCTAAGTGACTTGACGTTGAATTTAACGTGGTCAAGTGTGGTTTTCATTTTGCCCACATTGACCCCAAATGTCGGGGCTTGGGATCGGCAGAAAAATGTAAAACTGAAAACTTGACAATAAAGGCGGTTTTTCCATATGTTGTGACTTAGAGGGTCTGTCGCTTTCCTGTGGAGTTCGAGGTGGAGGTCGGGGGAAATGGACAGTAAGAGAAAAATCACAAGATCTGCCTGCTTTTGACTGTCTGGGCTACAGTGTGACCTTGTCTTAAAAAAGAAAAAAGAAAGTTAGGAATAAAGGAGGAATTTATAAATGCAATGCCTCTCAGCGACTTGAGGCCATAAGATTATTATGAACTTTATGCAAAATTCTACAGGAAAAACTTGCCATCTCAGACAAGCATAAATAACCGAGGATTAACTTGAAGTATTTGATATAGACTACAGCAAAAATGACTACCACATCTAACATGGTTTTAGAGTAGTTTGACAAACTCATTTACTCATGCATAAAAATTGAGACTGTCCATTTTTTCTGATAGCTGCTCTTTAGCAAAATTGAAATTTTTATTGAGCCATTTTTCATGCATTTAATGATTTAATACACTCAAATAAGTGTAAACTGGACAGGATTGAAGGCTTCACCCTCCTTTTCGCAGATGAAATGGTACCCTAAGTGATGAAATAACTTAGTTAACGTGACAAATTTGTGACAGGACAGCTTGTCACTTTATGGACACAGTGTAGTAGACGACACTGCTTCATATTTATTTAATGAACCCTTGGGTTTTTTCTGAAATAATATTTCATCTTTTCCTCTGACTCACTCAATAAAGACCTTCCTAAACCTGGAGATAGTATTGGGATCCTAAGGCTTTATCCTAAGACTCTAAGGCTTCTCCTCTTACATGGTAACAACAAAAAAAGCTCGAAGGAAGCTGGGAGGTGGTGGTGCACGCCTTTAATCCCAGCACTCCAGGGGGCAAAGGCGGGCAGATCTCTGTGAGTTCAAGGCCAGCCTGGTCTACAGAGCTAGTTCCAGGACGTTAGGGCTGTTATACAGAGAAACCCTGTCTCGAAGGAAAAAAAAAAAAAAAAACATGAAGGAACTTAAAATGATGTGCACCTTAGCAGCCTTATTTGTATACTGAAACTATTACACCCTTTTCTTCTTCATCTAGTCTTTTGTTTCTTTAAGAGCTTGGAGCTAGGTGTGGTGGCACATACATTTAACCCAGCACTCAGAAGGCAGAAGCAGATGGATCTCTCTGTGTTCCAGGACTGCCAGCGCTACATAGTGAGACCTAATTTCAGAGAAGGGGGGGTGCAGGTACCTGGGCTAAGTGTAATGAGTGATACGGGCCTGGATGCCCAGTATTTGTGAATTAAAGAAAGAGAATCTCTACTTTGAGGCCAGTTTAGGCTATACAGTGAGACCTTGCCTTAAAACAAACAAACACCAACAACAAGAAGCTCAAGAAATTCACACGAACAGAAGACTCTGAGTCCCTTGTTTATGGGAACTTTTCTTTCCAGATATCCACACCACGTCCTCCAAATTTCAAAAACCTTTATTTTGAAAGAACAAGCGAAAGAAGACAGTTAGCAATTACCAAGGACGATGACACTGAAGAAAATACAGTAAGTACTCTTCCCACACACAGCCCCTGCCCCCTTTCCCATCCCTGGCACAACATTAAAACCATTAAAGCACATTTGACAAAGAAACAGCAGTATGTAACTACGAAAGCAAATTTCCATACTGCTCAATCCAACTAAGCCATGTCAAATGTCCTTCCCCTAGCTAACTCCACCTGCTGAATGCTGAAGAGATGTAAAACAGACACTTCTGGGGGTATTTTGGACTCTGTTAAACATTCACAAAGTTCGGTGACAAATCAATAAGAGTAGAGGACTCCTCTGATAGGTAAACACTGGATACAGCTTTTCCATCCAATTTCAGGTTTCAGAAAACCGCTAGGGCTGGAGATTCAAACTTTAAACAGGACCAATCGCTAGTCCCTCGGTGGAAACTGTGGGGAAGCTGTCAGACCCTGGTTGGCTACTGAGAATAGTGAAAGTGAGGCAGCTTTGGGCTTAAAACCAAATTTGGCTGTGTCTAGTAAAAGACTGTTAATTAAATTTCAAACTGCTAGCCAAAGAGCTCAGTCGCTTGGACCCAAACAAAGGCGAGGAGAGACTTCCTACTGTGCCGCTTGAAGAAGCACACTATCTATTGCCTGCACATATCCCCTGTTTGAATTAAATTTGATGTTGAGTGTTTCAAACTTAAAAGCCGAATTAGAAGCTAATTAAATTGAAGAAACTCTTCTTGTAAAATGGTGAGTTTAAGTTTACAGCTTAATGCAGAGAGGGAGTTCCACCCCACGTGGAAATAGGTTCTTTCTTTTCTGCTAGAATAGGATTCTCGTACCAGGAGGGTTCCCTATTCTACATTTGCTGGAATCAATGTATAAAGGGAAGGGTACCTGTGCAGGATTAGTTCAGAGCCCCCTCCTCCACACTTGCGTGTATACTCACACACATGGCAGTTCAATACATTCCCCCCCCCACAGAATCTCACAGTCACGTGCTTGCTGGAGTCCACCTCACAAACACAGCTCAATAGTAGCCACACACATGTACATGCAGCAACATGTGAGCGTTGCTCCAGGGTGACTAAAGGCGGTGCACGAATGTCAATGTGGGGAGGTCACTTTAGGGTATAGATGTACACAAGCCAATTAACTTGCAGTTTGTACTTTTTGCTTTTCCCCTAAGAACAATAAATCAAATGAAAAACACACACTGATATCTTCTTGGGTGTCAGGGAGGCAACTGCCTAGAAGGTCCACTTTTTGCACTTCCAGTTTCCTAAGACACTTTCACTTTGCCCTGCGGGGCCTTCTCATATAAGGAGGGCTGCTCCTCTTCTGCGCTCTCAGGCAAGGCCTTCTTCTCAGAACGGTCTTCCGGCTTGCGCGCAATCAGCAGGCGGCAGGTGAGCAGGATGCCGAACACCAGAGCGTGCGCATAACGTTTGAGAGGGTCGCCGACCAGCTGGTGGAAGAAGAGCACAACCAACACCAGCAACAGCAGGAAGAAGTTGGCCACATCTTTGGGACGCCCAGGGACCAGGGTCATGACGATGCCACAGGCCACTTCAAGAGCGCCAATACTTTTTCGAAGGATAATGGAGTTGATGCCCAGTTTCTTCAGCACAGGAAGGGCTCGGACATAGCTCTTGTACGCACGTTTCTAGAGTAGGGATGGCATAAGGAAATCAATGCATTAATCACAATTTTAACAGCCAAATCAAGAAAACACCAGCAAGGGTCTGTTTTCCCTTTTTACACGAGCCAAAAGTATCTCATTTTTACCCTGTCCCTTAAATAAAACCTTGTGAATAGGGAAAAAGAAGAGGCGATCTGTTTGGAATCTCTGTGATTAAAAACTATAAAAAGTATGGGACTGGAGTTTCTTCCCTCTGTTCTTCTGAAGAGGCAAGCAGGTCTCCCTGTCTCTCTCTGTCTCTCTCTCCTTCCCTTTACCCTTCTCTCAATAAACTCCTCACTTAAGCTCAAAAAAAAAAGTATGGGACTGGAGAGATGGCTCAGCAGTTAAGCTGTGTTAGGCTTGGTGGCACTTGCTTTTAGCGTCAACACTTGGTGGGGACTAAGACAGGCTGCTCTCTGTGAGATCAAGGCCAGCCTGGTCCATATATTGAGTTCCAGGACAGCCAGGATTGCAGAGTCTAGAGACCCTGTCTCAAAACAACCACATTAATTAAAAGAGCACTGGGGCCGGGCGATGGTGGCGCACGCCTTTAATCCCAGCACTCGGGAGGCAGAGGCAGGTGGATCTCTGTGAGTTCGAGACCAGCCTGGTCTACAGAGCTAGTTCCAGGACAGGCTCCAAAGGCACAGAGAAACCCTGTCTCGAAAAACCAAAAATAAAATAAAATAAAATAAAATAAAAGAGCACTGGGTACTCTTGCAGGGGACTTGGGTTGGATTCCCAGCACCCACATGGTGGCTCATAACCTTTTCTAACTCTAGTTCCATGGGGACCTGCGTCTTCCCGCTTCTGTGGTGCTGCACAAACGTGCACAGACACATACAGAAAAAGCTCTCATACACATAAAAAAATAGAAGAGGCCATCAAACCACTAAGGCCCTCAGATGCCCATCCCTGCTAGCACATCCACCTTGGATTTAGCCTCCTGAACTGTAAAAATAAATGCGGGTTGTTCACAAACTGCCAGTTTGTAATATTTTGTTATGGCAATCTGAACGGATGAAGGCACCAAAAGTAATAACTCAGCAAACCTGGTTTCATAGTATTTTTTACAAGTTGCTGCCTGTAAATTACTAAGGAAATAAAAGAAATTCATTGAACCATAAAATTGGTCCAGGCAATCCATTTCCATACTTTCTAGCACTTGCTTTGCCCAAAGGGCAAGACAATGCATGGGATAACCTCACAAATTTGACTTCCTTTATTGGACTGTATGGTAGTTTTTGTTTTTCGAGATGGGGTTTCTCTGTGTATCTCTCTGGCTGTCCTGGAACTCACTCTGTAGACCAGGCTGGCCTTGAACTCGCAGAGATCGACCTACCTCTGCCTCCCAAGTGCTGGGTGGCCTATGCCACCATCGCCCAGCAATATGGTAGGTTTTTTTTAAAAAAAGCAGAGGTGAAATATACGTTTGTAGAGTCTGCCAAAATTGCTGATCAACTTAAAAAGGCACTGGGGCTACAGTTGACAGAGTAATTATCTAGCAGGAGTGAGGCCCTGGGTTCAGTCCCCAGACTGCATGAATCAGGCATGTTGGCACTTGCCTGTAAGCCCACTACTCTAGAGGTAAAGGCAAGAAAATCAGAAGTTGAAGATCATCCTTAGCTACATAGTTAGAGGCCAGCCTGATACATATGAGACCACAGTCTAAAAGAACAAACCGTGGTTCCTTCACTGACTCAATATTTAGGATTTCCATATGCTAGGCACTGCACTAAGTATTCGGAATACGAATCTGAATCCTTTAAAAAAGAAAGCCTTATCTTATTTATAATTAATTAAATTTTATTCTTACCATATTTTACATCCCGACCACAGTTTTGCCCCCTCTTCTCCTCCGAGTCCCTTTCCCCCACAACCTCCTTTCTCCCCCAGATCCACTCCTCCTCCTTTTCCTTCAGAAGAGGGCAGCCCTCCTAGAGCTAGCCACTGGATATGGCATATCAAGTTACAATTAACACTAGGCACATATCCTCATAGCAAGACTGGATGAGGCAACTCAGTAGGAGGAAAAGAGTTCCAAGAGCAGGCAAAAGAGTCAGAGAAATCCCCTCATTCCCACGGCTGGGAGTCCCACAAGAACACCCAGCTACACAACAATAATGTATATGCAGAGGACCTAGCTCAGACCCATACAGGGCCCCTGATTGTCTCTCTGGTCTCTGTGAGTCCCTGTGAGCCCTGCTTATTTGATTCTGTGAGGCCCTACCTTCTTGTGGTTTGACGTTGAAAAGGGATAGATACTGAGCTATGTAAGTGTGATAGAGCGTTGAGTGGCACATAAAATAATGTAGTGGGTATAGTGGAGGCATAGCAAATCTCCTCAGATGGTGACAGTGACAGTGGGACCCTAAAGGAAAAGCTAGTGTTTACAAGTACCGTTCTTAATTAACACTAAGTTTTTCAAGGAGAGATCCTTACATTCTAAAGTTTGAGCTTCTGGAGGATGCACAGAGGGGAGAAAGTCAGCTTCCTAGAGATCCTATAGTCTCTTCAGGTCCCAGAACATCCAGCTATGGACTGAGTAGCTTCTCTGAATGCCAGCCCCCACCCCCAGCACAAATCACTTAACACGCCAGAATAGATTTTTATCTATGGTATTGTGGAATCTGTAAGATTCTTATCTATGGTATTGTGGAATCTTAAAGCAGTCACCCTCAAGTCCTTGTACCCACACCCAGAAAAAAAATCTTTTCAGCACTGGAAATCAAACCTAGGGCTTTATGCACAAAGACAGGAAAATGCTGCACCACTGAACCCTTGTTGCTTCTTTCTTGAGAAAACTGAATGTGGGTAAGGCATTTCATCAAATCTTTAGTTCTAAACTGAGCATACACACATTGGACCTATTATCCATGACTCAAATGGAGACTGCATAGTTTATTAGAAATGGGATGATATTCTTTCTGTTGTAGAGTAGAAGAGAGACATCAAAAGTCTCCTACCATTGTCAGCCCCTTTCTTAATGCTTGAGGAAGGCCACCTCACTTTTTTTTGAGACAGGATTTCTCTGTAGCTCTGTCCTGGAACTAGCTCTTGTAGACCAAGCTGCCCTCAAACTCACAGAGATCCTCCTGCCTCTGCCTCCTGAGTGCTGGGATTAAAAGTTTGTGTCGCCACCACCCGGCTACCTCACTTCTAACAATAGAAAGCTCACATGCCATGGATCTGTAGTAACTAGATCTCTGAAGGCATTAATGGTATTACTGGTAAAATAAAGAGAGCCGACTGACTCACTTTCCAAAAAAAAACCTGTCCCAAATCACTTTTTTATGTCTGCCCTTATTTTTCCATTCAAATGAAGCAGACCCTGAAGCCATAGTTTCCTGAAGAGGCAAAGAAGTGGGAAACAGAAGTGTTGAGTCAAATGTTTCGAATCTATCTCTTCAAAGGCAATCATGTGACAGTATCCTTGGACCTGCATTTGTTTTATTGCTTGGATAAAATTACAAGTATCTTATTGCCTCAGTTTCCCCTTTTATAAATTAGATGATTATTTTGGAAATGTAATTAAAGATTCACAGTACCATAGCTTCAAGTGAGAGTAACACACACACACACACACACACACAGAGAGAGAGAGAGAGAGAGAGAGAGAGAGAGAGAGAGAGAGAGTTAGAAATCTGGACAGTAAAGTTACCCTTGGCAGGGCAGAACTGAGAAGGGCATAGACCATGATGGAGTGCTGGTCATCTGCTTCTAATGGGTACATGCATATTTACATGGGGAGATTCTGAAATTTTCTGGAACTGTACAAGTATGTGTTGTCTGTGTGTTAGACTCCAATAAAATTTCCAGACAGAATTATATGCAAGTTGAAGGGTGCACTTACAAAAATATATTTTGCCCAAAAGTCTCAGCCTAGTTACTATCTTAGACCACATAAAACCTACACAAGTGCTGCAAAATATGCTGACTCACGTATGATTTTCATGAATTTTGTAGAAAAAAAGCCACCTGTGAATCATAGAGCATTATCTGAATGCAATAAAAGCTCATCACATTAAATTGCCAACTATTCATATGAATGATAAGCACCTTTTCAGGGCTTCCGCTTTCCATTGTCATTTATACTTACCTAAAGAGAACTCTAACAAACCTGATCCCATTAAGCGAAGGGGATTCTGCCTATATTCTTCTTAGGGCAGGTGAATCTGTCCTCCACTGTTAAGTCAAAACCACTCCGAAACAAAGGCAGATGTTGGCCAAACAGAGTCTATAAACTTCCAGACACAGCTTTGGTGTAATGTGTATGGTTCAGCTTGTGTGGCTAGCTGTGCAAACTAAGCAAGTCACATCACACCTGAGGGTCTATTTTCTCCCTAAGGAAATAGATATACTGCACCACTTCCAAGAAGTCTAAGCATCGGTGAATTACTACCCTATTACCTAGTTGGAAAGCAATTAATGGCACTGATTGGAAGCATAAAAGATTGCCTATGGACATTAAATAAACTGCACAAACATGTTGAGAATGTCTCATTAGGGTTACACAAACAGGGGAGCACTTAACTAACCACAGATAACCAAATTAACAGAATTAACAAATCTTTTCTGTGAGGGGATGCAAAGAATTAGAGACTTACCCTGTGGTCCCCAAGGTCCAAATCCTTTGGCTTCTTTGTGACAGCATGTTGGTGTTTTCTTACTAATACATATGTGGTCTCCTGTGCTCACAGGATAAAACCACCACTTTAAAAAGCTGAATACAGATTGCATGCAGGTTAGCCATTCTTATACCCCCAGTTCCTGCGCAGGAAGCTACTTAGCAGCATCTATAAGCATTGTCTCCCAATTCAAGTGAATGAATGAGGCATTCAGTCAAGGGCATCTCTGATCATACAGGATTCACTTGGGATATAGAAGACTGTATAATAACACTTCCTTAATCTGGGGGAGGTTTGAGACAACACATACCAAATGGATTATTTAGAGATGTATGTGCTAATTCTGTAGGAGTGTCACTGTATTGTACAGCAGCAAGTGGAATCTTCAGTATTTTCTGATTGCATAAAGGTCTGTTCACAGAGCACATGAAAGTACATTTTGTTTTCCTATGCACTAGATTCTAGCCCCTTAAATGACCATTAAAATTAGTTAGAAAACTACTGCATAAAATAGAATCAATTATCACCATCACCTACTCAAAGATTTCCTTGAACACCTACTGTACCAGACAATGTTTACAACCTTTTGAGGTAGGAATTCTCATTTCCATGTTACAAATAAGGGAACCAAGAGTGCCAGAAATCTAACTCTGATTTGAATGAATCCAAACCCTGCACTCTTCCAACTAATATTTCCTGTATTCTCCAGTCAAACCAGGAGAAAAGTTCATATATAGTCTTTTGTTTTAATGGTTTATTCTTATTTTATGTGTCTTGGTGTTTTGCTTGCATGTGTGTCTGTGTGAGGGTGTTGGGAGTTACAGACAGTTGTGAACTGCCATGTGGGTGCTGGGATTTGAATCTGGGTCTTCTGGAAGAGCAGTCAGTGTTTTTAATTGCTGAACCATCTCTCCAGCCCTCATATATAGTCTTCTGTTTGGTTTTTAACACTTTTTCTAGTTATTCTTCATAGAGAGAATAATGTCTAAGATAACATAATAGCTTTATTTATTTTTTCTAGAGACAGAGTCTCTCTGTGTAGCCTAGGTTGGCTTCAGACTCACAGATATTCACGTGCCTCTGGCTCTCAAATGCTGGGATTAAAAGTGGGCTTGACATGCCTAACGTATAATGGCTTTAAAATAGAGGTTAAAAAAAATAGACAGAAAAGAGATCTATAAGTCAAAATTTTAAAAATTGGCTCAGAAAAAGAACAACCCCTCAAAATATAGATTGGGGAATTGAACTCATACAAAAGAAAAAGAAAGAAGAATGTCGGGTATTTTTAAGAGTCAGTTGTAGGTTTTATCAACAAAAAAATTCAATGACCCCCTGTGCACATGATTTCCAATCTCCTCTCCAACAATAGCCTTCTCTATAATCTTGGATAAATCGTTAAACCTGGTGTGCTCCAATTATCCATTAGTAAAACAGAAAGGTCTGATAAAATGAATCTACCTCACGGAGATGTTCTGAATAAATAGCATAACTACACCAGCATCACTCATCACCCCCTTGAAATCTCATGAGAAATGACACTGCAGTCAATATGTGACTAACTCCACTAATGCAGAAAAGTCACTTCAAAATGGGAACTAATCATTCCATCTGCCCCACGTTTGGTCTTCTGAAGGACCATTGACCCCCTCTCAGAAACAAGAAATGGTTCATAATCAAGAATAAACCAGAAAAGATTGAAGGATGGTGATGAGGCAATGCTACAATGACTCATTAATTCACCCATCCATCCCACAAATATATATGTGTGTGTGTATATATATATGTATATATATCACTTTGGAGAATATATATATATATTCTTTTTGGAGACTATACACACACACAGAGAGAGAGAGAGAGAGAGAGAGAGAGAGAGAGAGAGAGAGAGAGAGAGAGAGAATGTATATATGCTTTTAGAGACAAGGTCTTGCTATGTATCTTAGGCTAACCTGGAACTTCCAAATCTCTTGCCTTAGCATGCTGGATGCTGTCCACAAACGTATATTGAGCACATTTTGTTCAAGAACTGAATACTACCTCATTTTCAAATGGGCTCAAGATTAAAGCTGGGATGAATCTAGGCACTACGCAGTTAGCCTGCTGATGTCAGAAAGCCATCAGCAGCCACAGCCTGACACTCAGTGCAGGAGGAGACCCTGGAAAAGGGCAGTCTGAAAATCCTCTATAAGCTTCAGACCACTGCGACATCCACCTTGCAGTTAGATTTCCACCCCTCCAAAAGCCCCATAGTACAGAAACACAAAAGTGATCTAACACACACGCAATTGTTCCCCATTGCTCTGTTAGAGTATACCAATTTAAACCTTTTTCTGTATATGCCAGGAGATCTCCAGGCTGTTTTCTCTTGCTTTCGTTAGGCTGCAACAGACAGCTCCACTCCCTAGGAAGAAGCTCACTCTAAACCCATTTGTGGCTAGTACTCCTCATGAGCTCCTGCCAAGCTGGTAGGAAGCTTTCTGGTGGTGACTCCATCTTAGCCGAATTGCCTGCAGAGCCTAACACTGTACTTAGGGTGCAGCTTGGGGGTCCTCTAAGGCAGCTGGGTAGAGGTTCAGAGTACAGGAAACATAGTGAAGAAAGCTATGTACCTAAAGAAAGGGAAAGCTTAAAATACCTCTGGTGTACGTGCACAAATGTATAAATAAATGTACATACGAAAAGTAAAGCAAGAGCATATTCGTGCCTCTAAAATCAAACACTGAACTGGTGCAGCCAAGACAAAAGCATAAAAGCATTTCCCGTCCACTGCTTGCCTGTGTTCTAACCTCTTGAAGCCTTTTGGTGGCTTTTGCTACCTCACCCTACCCCCTTCCCCAGTGCAGGCAGCCTTGACTACTTATTTTGACCTGCTTTCAAATCCATCTGGTCTAACGTCCTGGGAGGAGGGGAGATGAGAAGGATTTGCCTCTGGGACTAGACCTAAGCCCCCTTCCCCCACCCAAGAGTAATCCTGTGGTAAGGAAGAAACAGAACGCTCAAGCCCGAGCTGTGTGCAAGTATTTTCTGAACATCTACAATTTGCCAGACTTCCTCCATTTAAGGCTCCTGTTGAAGGGGCCCTGGAAAGCTCTGCAGTGGGCCCTAGGAGGGCAATTAATCCCTCTCAGTGTGTGAGGCTATTCCTTCCTGCCTTGGCCCTAAAGTAGAGGTCCTTTTGCCTCTTGTCTCTCTTTCTTCTCTTTTCCCCTAAGCTCATTTTCATCTTGACCTTGAGAGCCCAGTAATGTGCTTACACTCATTACTGGCACTCTGGTGTAGGCTTCTAGAAGCTTGTCCCTGCAACCGGGGCGGGGGAATGGAATCAGCAAAGTGACAGGGGCGGAGGTGAGAGACCGAAAGTGCTAGAAACATCTCTTGCTATCTCCAAGTACTCCACTACATAAGTCCTCATGGCACCTAACTGGGAAAGGCAGCCCAGCCCCCAGTTTGCGGAGCTGTTTTGGCCAGTCACCTTTGGGCATTCTAACTCTGCAGAGAGGAAACCTGCAGAGGGCCTGGCTCTGGGCAGCCACCGGAGGCACGGTGGGGATTACAGACGGTTTTGCAGGACAGGACGAACAGACTTGATAGATTGTGTAGATTAGCCTACGCACAAGAGAAAACAAGACATCCAGCTTTCCCCTCCAGTGAAGGGTAGAAGCAGAAGAAGCTCCATGACCTTTATTTGGGGCAAGACTGCTTTGTCTCCAAGATCCAAATCGCACCCGGGCGCCTAAAGGCATACCGTCAGCTTTGCACACAGGATGAGGAAGAATACCTCGCCGGCCCCTACAAACCCCTAGCTTTAGGAGCCCGTCTCCTCACCCCACCCCCAGCTCTTCTTCTCTTTCCCCTTTGTTCCTCCCTAAAATAAATAAACTCTGGCTAGCTAAACTCTTTGCTTAGAGGGAAAGACTCCGACTTGGAGACTGGCTGTGGCTGGGACTTTGGGTGTGTGCTGGGAAGAGGGAAAGGCTCTTCAATGACAGGTGCTACGCAGGTCTCAGCCTTTTGCTTGACTTAAAATTGGGGGTCCTCGCTGGGCAGCCCCTCCCCCAATTGGCATGCAGTGGCACCGAAACAGTTGTTCCCAGCATAGCCCACAATGAAATCGTTTTTTGTCCAGCTGTTCCTTCTGAGCTGTAAAGTTGTTAGGGAGAAGGGAGGGTCCGCGGTTAGAGGAGAGGTTAAGGGAAAGGCACCGCACAGGAGCGGAGAAAAGAAAGAAAAGAAAGACGGAGAGGTAGTCACAATCCCATAGGGGTGCGCTCCTCATTGCTCGTCTACATCACTTACCATCTCATTGTAGGCATCCTTGCTGAGCCGGGGGGTCAACTTGATAGTCCCCATGAAAACAAAGAAGAGTCCCAGGGCCACAGAGAGGGCCACGATAGTTACGGTTCGTGGGGATGCCATGGAGTCGCCAAGACAGGTCCCAACTAATCTTTCTGCTTTGCGCAGCCCGGGCTGTCAGGCGCAGGCAGTTAGCACAGGGAGAGCTAGAGGCGCGCTGCGGAGGCAGCAGGCAGAGAGAATGACAAAGGGAGAGGAGGGAGCTGGAGAGAAAAATTGAGAGATCGAGATTCAACCACTCTCACTACAACAATCGCTGGGTCCTAATGCCCTACGCTTGCACGGCATAAAGGACCGTGAAGAAGTTAAAAGAAGCCCTGAACTGAGACGGGGAACTTCTAATTCTTAAGTGCAAAGAAGGCAATTTATGCTTCAAGTTCAGCACCGGGAATGAGTAGTTTAGAAAAGCGTCCTTTCTACTATTTCACCAGGGGCATTTTGAAACCCCCCTCACACACCTACACTTCAGTTATTCACTCCTTATTTCAAACCTCATCATTTCCTTCAATCAAATCATTTAGTCCTCATGAAATCGTTTGATTTCTGAAAGTGCTAACATTCCAGGACAAAACTGCAAGCCCCACTTGGTGGCTCAAGTCTGCAATCCCAGTATTTTGGTGCTGGGGCAGGACGATGGTAAGTTCTGGACCAGCCTGGGCTACATAGGTAGTTCAAGGCCACCCTGAGCTACTTACCAAGAGTCCCTCTGAAAACTCATCCTCCCCCAAAAAAAATTTTTTTTAAAGAAACTATTAAGTTCTCAGGATTGACATCAACTTAAGAAGACTGTTTCTTCTACTTCCGCAGAAACCATGTTATGATTAGTTAGTACTTAAAATTTTTACATGGGGCTGGAAACCTAGCTCAGACTGTAGAGTGCTTGCTACATGACACCCACCTTTTCACAATTTGATTCTGTCTCTCAAAAGATTTAGCTTTCAATAGGCCTCACTGCTAAGCACCATCTCTCATCTCCCCACCCACTGCCCCATCCTACCAGAGCTTTGCTGCCACCCATGCATTTGCTCACTCCTTTTCCTTTTCTTACTAGTCATTAGACTATTGTGCTTACTCTTCAAAGGTCATTCATCGAATAACCTTTGCATCAATGTCACCTCCTCTATAAAGTCTCTCCGGATATAGTCCCAGCTACATGAGATTTTTTTTTCCTCCTTTGATGTTGTTCTATTACAAAAATCAATGCTTATTGACTGTCTAATAGGGGCAAGAAACTGTTCTTGTAATACTGTGAGCTAAATATGAACCCCCATTTGTGGATGGGGACATTGATGGGATTCAAATGAGTAGACAATTATATCTGGAATCCAGGCTCATTTGGTTTGGTTAAACACATGAAATCTTTACTCCGGGAGTGGGTAAAGTGAACATCAGAGCCTCTGATAAGATTTGTTGCTCCGCTGCCCAAATTTGTGACCAGAGGTCTCAGATACATAGAATACATAGCCAGTGTGGAACTCACACTAAGAATGAATGGGGAGGTGACACGCTAGGATCCAAACATCCTTCTAGACTGCACGGGAACGGTCAGTGATCAGAGCGTGGTGTGTCTCTCTGTTAGGACAGAGGGTAATTGGGCAAGCTGGGTGGTGACCGACCACCCCATGTCTGACTGGAGCTCACCCCAGAGAGACAAGCAGAACCCCAGCAGCACTGCTCAAGGAGGGAGGTGAAAATCCTGAATCTTTCTTTCTTTCTTCTTCTTTTTTTTTCTTTTGGTTTTTCAAAGCAGGGTTTCTCTGTAGCTTTGGAGCCTGTCCTGGAACTAGCTCTGTAGACCAGGCTGGCCTCAAACTCACAGACATCCGCCTGCCTCTGCCTCCCGAGTACTAGGATTAAAGGCGTGAAAAGGAGGGCTGGGTCCTCTTCTATCAATTGGCAATCAATAAAATGCCCTACATATGTACTCACAGGACCGTCTGACTGAGGCAATACTTTCACCAAGGTTCTCTCTTCCCAGACGTGCCAAGTTGACATCCAAGATTAGCCTCCCCAAGCCTATGTCCTCACTGTAACTCAGAGGCCTCTTTCCAGCTTGGCCACCAATCCTTCGTACTCCTCCCACCTACCCAGTCCAAGCTGGGCTGAGTGACTCCTGTCTCTAACCCCACCACTCACTCAGAAACCCGAGATAAGAGGATTGCTGTGAGTTCAAAGCCATCCTACGCTACATAGTAAATTCCAGACCTGTCTGGGCTATAGTATAAGACTCTGCCTCAAAACCAGCCAAACAAAAAGTATCTGAAGAAAGAGGAGTACGAGGAGGAAGAAAAAGAAGAAAGAAAGGGGTGGGGACGGGTAGTAAATACTACAGAATCAGCACAGATTCCCTTCAAAGAGCCTGGCTTATTCCTAGTGTCACCCCAGACAGTCCTTCTTGCCACTCACAGGTGTGATGATTCCCTTACTCTACTGTGCCAGAATACCCATTACATCTACAGGCAGGAAGCAGAGATTGAGAACACTCAGCTTAATCGCTCCATCTACCCCCCCCCCCTCCCCCCCCCCCCCCCCCCCCCCCCCCCCCCCGCGCCGCCATTCTGGGCCTCTAGTCCATTGAACAGTGTTTCCCATATTTCAGTTGTGTCTCCCACCCTCAATTAAACCTTTCTCAGGGCTGGGGAGATAGATAATTCATCGGGAAAAGCGCTTGCTGTCCATGCACGAAGATTCAGTTCCAGGCACCCCTACACAAGCCAAGCATGGTGGCACATACTTGTAGCCCCATTATGGTGTGAGAGGGGCACAGAGGGATGAGGGGATAAGGAAAACCTGGATAACTGGAAACAGGTGGCTCCTGAGGGCGGGCTGGCTGACTGTCCAAATAGAGTTTCAGATTCAACAGAGACCCTACTTCAACATATAAGGCAGAAAAGCAGTTGATAAAGATATTCTGACATCATCTTCTAGCCTCCACATGTACCCACTAGGCACATATACAACACACACACACACACACACACACACACCACAGAAAATGAAAAGAAAAATATTGGAAATAACCCTATAGACACACCCAGAGGTGTGTTTCCATAGTGATTCTAAATCCCATCCTGTTGGTAAAGAAGGTTAACCATATCGACAGGTACCCTGAGCCCGAGCCCTCTGAAATAGTATGTACCTGGTGCCTCATGCTCAGTTCCATTAAAGAAAATTGGGCCCTGCGCCCTTCATGCTGAGTCTCTTGGTGACTTCCTTTGGTGACTAAATAATCTGAGGCATGATGCCTGAGGAATCTCTCCATCGTAAGCCAGCTCTTGTCTTCCTATTACTAGGCCAAAGACATAGAGGACTTCCTTCAGTTCAGCTTCCTTGGATTGAACAGTCAGGGCCTGGAAGGCCCCCATGAATTTTAAATGTGTGATGTAGCAGTGATAAGCATTCTCTACACTCCCACATCTTCCTGAGGGCAGCATGCGGTGTTCTGGGTCCTGAGTGCTGGATACAGCCACAAACCGACTCCTCCACAGTGCCCTGAGCACCAGAGCATACTTCAGTGGAGTTAGAACTTCAAGGGGGTCGTGTTCTCCAGGCTGTCCATGTACGATAGGTTCTCACACACCTTGCCAGTGACATTCTCGGGATGTGTGTCCCCCTTTTCCAGGTAGTTCTGTGCTCATTGTCACCACGGATTTGGAAGCCGACTCTATGAAAGGACTTTGAAGGTGCCAGCATTCATCTTGAGTTTGGCAGCTAGGCCTGGCTATGGATCTTATTTTGCTCCATCGGCTGGATAAGTCTGGGAGAGAAGAGTCACGGACCCGTCCCCCACTGATTGAAGCCTTGTGACTTAGGCACTGCAGGAGGACATGGAAAGTGAGATACAGACATTGCTAACAACGAGCTTGTTGCTACACAGCAGACAAGAGAATCTGTTTATTTTCATACACATTATACATGTCTGGAAGGAATGCACCAAAGTATAAAATGGTAATATTTCAATTTTTTTCAAACATCTTACATTGACCATGTCAATAAAATGAGCAGTCAGGGAAGACTATGTTTCAGAGTTAAGTGACTGATTATATATGATGTATTGTATATAATGTATTTCCATTTCAAATGACATGATAATGGGAATAACACATACTCATAAAAATGTGTAAAACGTTAAAGGATATAAGAGAAAATAACTCATGATTCCACTATGAAGACATAGTACTAATATTTCTGTTGGTCAGTATTTGGACTGACCTTTTCCTTAATCCCTCTATATGAAGAAGACATATGTAAATTATTACCTTTTCAGAATTTGACTACTTTAGTATGTTTTATACCCAGGTTTTATGTATGTATGTATGTATGTATGTATGTATGTATTTATTTATTTATTAAAGATTTCTGTCTCTTCCCCACCGCCACCTCCCCTTTCCCTCCCCCTCCCCCAATCAAGTCCCCCTCCCTCGTCAGCCCAAAGAGCAATCAGGGTTCCCTGCCCTGTGGGAGGTCCAAGGACCACCCACCTCCATCCAGGTCTAGTGAGGTGAGCATCCAAGCTGCCTAGGCTCCCACAAAACCAATAGGTGCAGTAGGATTTATCTTTTATTTTTATCACTATATTCCTGAGTTAAGGTAAAAGTCCTAACTTCAGGAAATGTCAATGGAATCCAGCCTCTAGCTCCTCTTTAGAAGGCCAATTAAAGGATTTAGCAGTAGGTGGCAAAGGTCACACGGAGTTTAATCATCAGTATGATTGCACTGGCAATGGCAGAAGCCTGATGCTCTAAAATCTGTCTTCTGTGTTTTTGTTTTGTTTTGGTTTTGAGACAGTCTTGCTATGTAGTCAAGGTTGGCATTGAACTTGTGACCCTCTTGCCTCCAAATGCTAGGATTGCATCTTCAAAGTGCTTATAACAGTGTTAGTGTGGTATAGGGAATAGAAGAAACAAAGGCGAGAATTGGGGGTTACAGTGTGTCTCAGTTGCTTTCCTATTGCCTTGATAAAACACCATTAACAAGGCAATTTATAAAAAGAAAGCGTTTAATTGGACTTTCAATTTTAGAAGGTTAGAGCCTTTGGTGACATAAAGACATGGTAGCGGGAACAACTGAAGGCTGATGTGCTGAGCTGTCAGGTGGAAGAGGGAGGGACAGTGGGAGGAGGGCAAGGCTTTTGACACAGCTCTTCTAACAAGGCCACAGTTTCGAATCTTCCTCAA